TGCTGTCTGAGGCTTCAGTTTTTCTTGACCAACCTAAGTGCTGATTAATCATAACAACACGTTAAAGTAACCTGATAATCTAAATGTCTGAAAATCAGAAGCGCCAAAACCCAGCATTCTTTTTTACCGATATTGTGATGTTGTATCGGGGCTGATTGTTGAATGCCTTCAAGTCTACATCTTTTGTCAGTTTATCATACTTGTTTATTCGCCTCAGGGGATAAGGATAAGTTTCCTTTTGCACCAGAATTTAGACGAACGATGAATTGTATCTTTGCTCACAATTGCTCGCTTAATCGAATATTGCAACCAACAATTTCTGCTTTTTCCGGTCACCTTTGTCATTGTCAACTCCCTAACGATTTCTGGGGTTTTACTGAATCTCAACCATGCTCTGTTTCATTGATAAAGAAAACTGAAACGACCTTTTCTAATTGCTACATATATGGTACACAGTGCGTCCAAAACAGTTTGTAAAGTTCATTATTTTTTGATATTATAACTTTCTGTCCTATGATTAACATTTTCGCCATTGGAAGAACAAGGAACTAGAAGCCCTTATACTTTATCAAGCAATGGATCTACGAAATTATTTTAAACGGCTGCCTTGACCATCAAGCGGTACTTACTCGATACTTGGTACCGTTTCGCTGCGTGCTTTAGTGTGACCGAGAGTACTTTTGAATCGTACAGGAACAAAGGCCAAAACAATGAATTAGACGTTTTCTACGATATCACATGAACTGCACGTTTAACATCACACTGCATACTCTGGCATAAAATAAGGCATTCCCATAGCAAATTTCTTCCTCGACACCCCAGTACCTGTTGCTTCACAGACCGAGTACGTTTGAACGTAGTTTTGGAACACTGGTATTTGAAACAATACTATGGCGGTATTTGGAACAGCATCCTTATTTTACATGATAACCCCGCACGGTGCATCGGGTACTACAATTTCAGGGTTCTAGCATTCGTGAAATAAGGACTGCCCTCCACGACACATTAATACTGTATTCTTTATTCTCTATTCTTTTTTGTGCTTACGCGGTAAATTTTTATTCATTTGAACAGCATATATTCAAAAATCATCTTTTGGCATTTGTAATTTTGAATCGTATCCTTAAAGCTAACTGACTTGCATCAAAGGAAAAACCAAGATACAAGCAGAAGTGAAACCGCTCCAAATTAAATCTTCCGCATGGATCTCCATTAAATTCTAGCCACACATTATCACTGAACAAAAAGGATGACCATGAGCTAAGTGACATCGACCATGCTTTTTATACATCGACTTGTGCTAAAGTATATTTTAGTGTTGAAGTTGTTTTCAATGCAGACTCCAGTATAGCCCCTCAGTTTGCAAGCGTTAAAAATAAAGACCTGACACCATTCACGAACTGAAAGTTCAGCAGACAACGTGCCACTCAGCAACGGGAACATGGAAAGTAGCACCGGACAAGAACTTGCCACTGTAATGATGCTTCCGTCCCGGCGAATTTTCAAAACGGGATTCTGCGTATCACAAAAATTCAAAAGCTAGGCCGATAGCAGAAGACACTAACAATAAGGACCCAGCAAAAAGTTGTTTCGGTATATGTAATCGCTGTTCTTTCAGTGAATAGTTTGTGTATACGCGCTGATCTACTTTATTTACTCTATTAAGCGCCAGGTGGAGCAGCTAAAACGTTTACGCTCGACATGGATGACCACTACAGGCTGTCATATACGTCTGACTACCAAGTGATTTGAAAGCTGATACTCGTAGATTGCCGATGAGATTTATTTTCTATTGCAAAGGCTCAGATTCTTAATAGATATTAGCAGTTTGATATGCACAGTAAATTTACTATATTCAGTTAACTGATGTAATGCACGATACTTTAAAATCGAGAATTATGTTATGCGGTAGCTTTATTTTATATTAATGTTTCTCACGAGATTATTCCGCATACACGTTGTTGCAAAAGGAACCGACGTTTCGAATAACACTCGACTCGTTAAAATACACAAAACTACTTTAGACTTTTTTGTAAGATTGCTGCACCTTGATGTTATCTGAGCATGGTTCCAAACGTCGGTAATTTCTGTAATAAAGCGTTTAAGCGTGAAGCACTGTAAGAAACCTCAATACCTTGTGTACGAAACGACGCAATCTACAAAATATACTGCCGGAATATCGCCGTGACATTTTAACTGCCGCAAAATGTTCGAGCGCAAAACCCACCTCTCAGAATAAGCAATAACTGCGCAACATTTTAGGATGATCCACGGAGTTCGGACGATCGCATAGAAATCGCTTCCAGTTCTCCTTAATGCACCGTTCGAGAACCGAAAGTCCGCCTTTATAAAAGTAGAACAGTGTCATGTCCAGTAAATCGCCTGTCTCATCTCGAATCAAATACCACTGCACTGACGCAGAGTCACATCAAGTCAAGTAACTGTTCCTATGCATCTATGTTCATAAAGAACAGAGCAAATTCATCAATTAACGCATCACTCCTAATGGGTAGCCAACCTTGTGGCAGCTTAGATCTTGTCTTAGAATAACTAAGATTGGATAGTCAAAATAAACAAAAAGCAACTAGTAACAAATCGCATTACCAACCGTTTGTCGAATTTTGCATATGAACGTCTGGTAGTAGACCTATTTGTAGGAACATCCTGTTTGGTAAAATTATCGAATCGTCTGTCAATTAGCGGAGGCTGCAAATGCTGGATCCTTCGAACAAATGCCTTGTAAATTTGTATTCATAATTTGGGTTTTCAACATTTCAGCCAGGCCAAAGAACTTCTGAAAATCTCCACAATAACGTTGAATTTTTATTTTTTGAAGCCCAGCCATTGGTGCAGACCTCTACTGCAAAACCGACTTATGCTGACATACTGAACTTTCCTTAAACATCCTTAACCATTAGCGAAAGCGTATTACTCATTTAGCAGCTGGTTATTGTCTTTATATGCAGGTCATCTTTGGTTTGCGATGTCCGGAGCAGTTCTGTTCTAAGGTGCTATTGTGTTGCTGAAGCAAATATTTCTCTCCGAAAGCCGCAGGTATACCACTGCCTTGCTCATCCTTGTTGTATCCTGACCTTCTTGTCGACATCTGCCGCTTCGGCTCCCACACAGAAAGCTAACAGGCCAACCAGTGTTTCCAACGGGGGAACCTGTTTATGTCTCCAAATTTACAGAAGTCCCTATGTCCAAAAGCAAAGAGAAACTTACCAACAATATTTCAACCTGGTCGTATAATAATATTCAGGCACAACACAGGTTTTCTACCTTCTGTCAGACTTCCTTTAGGCGTAGTATGTGTATTCAACAGTGCATATGTCATACATGTGTATATTAAATGTTTTTTTCGTAATTCACAAAAAACATTTTTTAAACCAATTTCCCATAGAGGTGATATCAGCGAAAATCTCAAATGACGCATGTGGATTCAAAGTTCATATTTTTTTATTTTGCATTGATCGCTGAGAAGCAATTTCATGATTGTCTCGGTGTGCTGTACCATAACAGGCAAATCGTGTCATTATGTCAATAGGCCGACATAAGGCAAACCACCTAATCATCATAACAGCGCGGAACGCTGTCAACTTTCTGCACTTCTATTCTCAGCCAGCTTTCCTTACACCGATGGCTGTTAAAATTCTATTTCGATAATAACTACACAAAAAAATTAGACTCGCATCAAATAAAAAAAGTTTAATTCAAACTAAACTCAACATATTGAACAGCTCAGAATGCATTGATTTACACAGCGGTTATTATGCCTGTATGCTGTCCTGTCACACGATGTTCAATGATGTTTTCACATGATTATTTGAAGGCAGCGTCTAAAGTGGTAATCAAAATTATTTAATCACATTACCTGTTAGATGACATAAAACGACGAACGCATCCATTCTTCGATGGAACAGCGTTTAGTCGTCTGAAACTATCGCCACCGATAGCAAGAACCTAAAGCAACACACATAAGAGCACGGAACATCAAGAGATTTAGCTACTGACCGTATTCCTTACTCCTTATCGCTGAGCTCACAATAAAGAAGTATATCGATGACGAATATTTTATAATGCTCACTTCCACGGTACGGCTACACAGTCTACGGCTATTTCTCTCGTCAATCTTTTAATAGATAAGTATGCCATAACAAATTAGTATACGGTGGAAACAACGCAATACAATAAACGACACCTGGTATCATCATGGGCAAACTTCATCGTTTTATTAACTTTCATTAGTTCATATAGACCGTACGCTTAAAATACCGCTGTCTGCAAATTTTTCTTTATGTACTACGACCTTAGTACGAAACATACGGCAGATTTAATAATCTTTGTACATCCTTACACTCCTAAAAGACAAAGCAATCTTGCACTTCTGACTTAAAGAAAAGTATACGAAAGTTAAACAGATGGTAAATAAATGCCTACCCGCGGTAAACTGCATTCACGAGCTGCCTCCATAAGACTGGTATCCGCCGCCACCGCCACCGCCATAGTGTGATGAGCTCCATCCTAAATCTAGGCATGCAAATCCAAAACTCAAACGAAAACAATTAAAACGCCTTAAGATTTACAGACCTTGAGGTTGAGCCTCCTGCTGAGCCCAACTGCCTTGTCCCTGTGCCCACGGTGCAGCACCACCTCCTTGTTGAGGTGTCATTGGGCTGCTCCAATTGTTAGCAGCTTGCATACCTAATTTTATGATAACACATGAACTTCACCTTATAATTAGCATAACAATACACGGTACCTGCGTTCCATTTTCCAGCACCTGCAAGAAATTAAAGCCAAATTTAAAATAGACCAATGTCAACAAAATTTGAACCTTGAGAATAACCACCGCTGCTGTATCCGCCACCACTACTGTATCCACCTCCGCCACTGCCGCCACCACCCTGGCTCCATTCGTTTCTCGGTGCAACAGGTTCAGGACGATACATGCCACCACCACCGCCGCCACTTCCTACACATTAAAGTACCACTGCTAGTTAAGACAACGTCGTAATAAACATTATTCTAATACTTCTTCCAGGACTGCCATAGTCTTGATAAGAATTTCCACCTCCGTAACCAGACCGACCGTAACTAGCAGAACCTCCGCCACTGCCGCCGCCATAACCACCACCACCTCCGGCTCCATAACCACCGCCATAGCCATTGGAGACGGCACCACCGCCATAACCTCTGGAATAATCATACCCTCCGCCACCGTAACCACCGCCTTCGCGGCCATAGCCGCGTGATCTCGTTTCTCTCTGCTGTCTTTCAAGTTCTAGCTGTTGAACTTTTCTCATTTCCTCTTTGCTTAAAGCCTTCTTCACATCGCATCGTTTTCCATTTATGATATGAGATCTGGCCACTGAGAGTTCAACGACGTTACAGTGTAACCATGTAAAAATAATAAAGGCTACTTACGAACAACGCGGTCCACCGGGTCATAGTCATCAAACGTAACAAAGGCAAAACCTCGCTTTTTACCAGTCTGTTGATCAACTTTGATTTCTACTTCACTGATATTACCGAACTGAGTAAAATAGTCACGCAACATATCTTCGGTGTGATCTTCCTTGATACCACTCACGTACACTTTCTTCACGGACATGTGAGCCTCTGGTTTATTAGACAACTAAAGGCAGTACTTAAATATACAATTTTTTCAAAAGAAATAGCTGAAATGGCTAGTTTTACAATCACATACCAGACCGTTATCAATTAATTTTAACAAATAGTCATTATGAAATTTTTTATGGAAGACTTTCTTCCTCTTAAATAAAACATTTCTGATATGCTACGGTTTCTATCTTAACTGTTTCTATATTATCTTTTAATCTTAACGGCTTATCCACTATTTAAGCAATGCTTTTTCATTACAGGAACACAGAAAAATGCCATCATACTAACCCATCAACTACCCTGCTTCGGCAGCACTACGAATTAATTAGGTTCAACGCTTCCAACCTACCGAAACACTGTTATCATGAAGTCTTACTCCCCATAGAAGTAAAACAGGTAAATTTGCCTGTTAAGTGCAAAATCCACTTCCAGTAAGAAAATGGTACTTATATTTTTTGAAACGATGACAAAATAAGCTAGAAGATGCATCTGCACAGAGTATGAGAACCGTCAATATGACGCGAAAAAAACTTGTTACAAATGCGACCGCTGCGATAATGACTACTTAACTACTTTTAACCCCTGAAACGAAAATTAAGCGCATGTATTTTTTGTAATCAGTGGTTTAGTTTTATTTTTATCTCATCTGAACTTAACTTCCGTTCCTTCGACACACAATGCTGAAAATACATTTTAGCTAGAAATTTTAAAATATCATGAGATATAATCCTTTGGTAAGTCACAAACGGGAAGACCACGCATAAAATGTTCTTTAATTAGGGACATCTGACGTTTCGGACCAAACTCGGTCCGTCTTCAGAGTACGAAACGTCAGATGCCTCTAATTAAAGAACATTTTATGCGTGGTCTTCCCGTTTGCGACTTACCAAAGGATTATATCATCTCCCGCATAAAGAAATCATGCCCGATTTTCAATATTATGAGATATTAATATAAATATGAAAATCAAAACCGACGACAGTGGCATCGCTAAATGTAGGCAAAAATCAAGATCAATCAGAAAACAATTCAGGATGAAAGACGGCGATACGCTGCTATTTGATTCTATATCTGCAAAAGCTTAAATGATCTGGAGATGCGGTGAAACCTCCGCTGAAAAGATGGTTGTGGCAGTTAATGTTTGTATGACAGACAGGCCTTTGGATGAAAGCAGTCTCAAACTTTCGAAGGCCTTCAAAACAAAATAAAAAACAATATCACCTGCATTTTATATAACTTCTATTCGATAGGAATAAGCACATTAGTCGATATTGGAAAGTTTCCTGATATAATTTTTGCACATTGTCATACGCATTTTGTGATACTTTTTACTATTTTTAATTTTCTTAAAATGCCAGCTGTAAAACGGTGTATGCTATTTATGTTCTCTGTTATTAGCAACAACACGACAATCGCGTATCTAATGCCTGTACTGTAGTACATGCAAAAAAGTTTGTACTAAGTATTAAAGCTTTATGCATAAGTCGCTGCGTTTAATGCTTAAGCACGTACCATTGTCCTTTTGTTACTTTTCCAATACTTCAGAAGAGCTAACTAAACCTCGTTCTAATTCCATAAAACGTCATAAACATAGTATCATTTCTAGCCTTGATTTGCTTGCTGTATCTGTCTTAACATAAATATTTCACCGGTGCTGATTTTATATGCAAGAAATTTGTGTCATAAATTCAGAGAACTTGTAAAAAATGATGTTCGCCGCGTCTGCAGTCATAAAGACAGTTGATATGATGCTCTGTGATCAGAAACCTTATCAAACTAAGATTATTCGATAAAACGTCCCGGCAACATCACGTATCATTCAATATTTGGCATCACGTCATAAAACACTATCTTCGGTTAGCACCTTTTCGTGTCTCTGCCAGCAGAAAAATCGAAACCTTCGTCGCATATTCTGACGGGACCATTTTTGCCCTAATAGCAACTGCTCATGTTCAAGCAATCAATTTAATAATTGACTGATCCAGACACAAAGAATTTTTACATGGTATCTTATGCTGACAACGTTAATTTCATTGCTAGTCAACTTTTAAATCCCATTATTAAGCCGATGGCAACAGACAAATAATGGAGCGCCATGTCATTGTCCTAAAAGCATTTTAAAAAACAAACTCTGTACAGTATTTAAGGCTTATTATTTAAAACTCTATCAACTGCTAATCATGGCAAAAATTGAGAATTTACACTGATGCTCATGAGAACTTCAGATTAATGAAATAAACTGTGATCTTCGAAATAATTTAAAACTTTGTTTTACCAACAGTCTGTAACAGATTCTATTTTGAATACTATCAAAAAATGTCGAGAGATGGTTTTCAATTTTTTAAGCTGTTGGTAGTTTGAACTGAAGAAACTTTCGTTAATACCTGATTAAATTACGATTAAATCAAAGTATTTTTTGAGACGGCATCTAGAGGCTCACACAATCTGTGAGGTATACCCTTTTGTTTCATGCCACCCCCCCATGAAGTAGAATCATTAGAACTTCTTGTATTCGATTCCCTTTGGACTAAATGAGGAAAATATTACCGCGAAAATAGTGATGGATACGATTATGCGGGGATGATGCGGGGAACATTTTCATCTCATTTACAATGACCTTGAACTAAACTTAATAGCAAAATTTTTATGGAATACGAGGGCTTTAACACAAAAAATGTTGTCGATCCTAAATTTCCGAGGTTCCAAGAAGAAAATTTACATAAATTATAAAATCTTGTCGCGATTACGTATATGTTGTATGTGATGATGAAGCATTGTGCAATATGAAATGGACCGCACGGCTACTACGACTAAAAACAGAATTTTTGTTTTATAGCGACAAGTATCATCGGAAATGCATCTATATATAACCTGCAAAGCAGGTCATTTACAATGAAGGCCATTGCTACATACGACTGAAACGTTTGAAGCGATATATAAGTTCCATGGTCGCTCACTGCCTCAAGATCACAAAGCTACAAGCAAAAAGTTCAGTTTCCCAGACCAAAATTTATAGACAATTGCAACAAAACGCCCTGAAACAACATTAGGATTTTAACTGGTAAGGAACACAACACCATATCCTACAATGATATGCTGCGCTTACTAAGTTAACCTAGCTACCGAAATATACCTTACTTCACAGTACAGCAATTTAGCGAAACTGTGAAAACCGTTAACACATTAGATTAAGTAAGGAACCTTATAAGAAAATTTTTTGCAGCATATTAAGATATCCACAAAATATCGTACTGCAAAGAAACAAGGGGACTTTAACATAACACCTTTTCATGCTGAGGATTTATAGCAACACTGACCACATGTCGTTAAAATTTCTGATTAATCAATCGTTTACAGAGAATTATCATTCAAAATAAACATTACATAAGAATTTTATAAGAACCGTTTCAGACTCTAAAGGGAAATTTTTAGTGGAACGTTTAGGGTAAGAGATATGTGCTAAAATATCGGAAGATTTTCAAATGCAACTTATTATTATGGGCACCGAATCTGTAAATATGAATAAATCAAAAAGTACTAAACAAAATGAAGATTATTTACATCACGAGGCATAGCCCTCTTGGCTTCGACTTCCTTGCCGTCGACAACGTGCGGTCGCGCTGCCATTGCAGCATCCAACTGGTCTGCATCAGCGAATGTGACGAATCCGAATCCTCTTGAACGCTTCGTGTTCGGATCCTTCATGACCACTACATCCTTTACTTCTCCGTACTGAGAGTAGTATTCTTTCAACACCTCATCGGTTGTGTTCGGAGTAATTCCGCCGATAAATAACTTCCGATATTGCTCATCTTTCTAAAGCAAACATTACGTACTTCAAACAGAAATCCATGTTTTTTCTACTTACGTCTGCTCCTGCTGACATTCTGTACTACAGCTATGCAAAGTTGCAAAATTTACAAAGGTATCCAACGTAAAAGCCACCAACTCTCAGTTTAACGCTACGTCACAATCGTAAGGTCGTTGATAATCACTCCAACAGTGGAATCTCCCTATGGCAAAAAATAATAGTTTAATACCTATACCAATGACAATCTACAAAAGGAATCATACAAACTTGTGAAAGCTGTTTTGTACCAATTACGCTTTAATAGACATAACAGAACACGTTGCAAGAAAAATCAGCCATCGCTCTACCAAAAAGGGTTAAATTTGGCTTCCAAGAGAAAATAGGCGGTGGCTTGGAAGACCGTTAGATCCATAAAGAAAGGAGTTGAATAAAATAGCTAGGTCAAAACGGATTAGAGTCGCAGAAAGCGGACGTACGTGTGTCTTCTGAAAAACTTTCAAGCGGAACGATGCATTAATTTTAAATTAAATTTCAAAAATAGTTTTTGAAGTAAATTTGCATTCTATCTTGACTTGTAATTTAAATAAATCAGAAGATTAAGAAATTCGCAGAGATTATCAAATAAGGGCAGGATCATGGGCGATATCGCATCTCATGGTGCTCAAGCATCCGATGGCAGGGCCAAACTTCGCATATCAGTTACATTTTACTACTTTTCTTCAAATGGGGCAAAAATTAAGGCTGATTTAGTCCATTCAAACAAAGGCAAGGAAGTTAGTCACTAAGCTGTACGTCATTCTCGACGCACTATTTGAATGATGATGATGTATCTTCAATCCGTCAACATTTTCAATTTCAAGAGCTATTCTTTGGGGTAAGTGGCCTGTTTTCGTATGCATCTTGGGTTTTTGATCATTCTTTTCACGTTTTCGGTCCCATTCTGTCTCCAATTTAGTCACCCACTGTACCACACTCTTTTCCTTAGTCCATTACATTTGTTCAGGGTACAACCTTGTGAAATATTTTCTAACAGTTTGTACGCTCTCTCTAAGTTATTTTTCGTTTTTCTGATATTCTTTGCATTCTTTTATATCGCAATCAAGTGATACTTGAATCATCGAAGGAAAGCGAGCATCATACTTTGTTCCGATAATGACGACAGTTTCCACTCCCGACGTGTAAGGTTCTATTCTCAGATGCTAATCTAGCACAATAGCCACGGATATCACCGCCCGAAACTGTGGACAGAAATTCTGTAGTTGATTCGCATAAAGAGTTAATGAGAAAAACTAAAGGTGGAGTTAGGAGATTAAAGAGCAAAGTAAGGCCAC